GTGTTTATAGTCGCAGTGTGTGGGGGGGGGGGGGGGGGTGTTGGTGTTGTTGTTGCTTGCATTGCTTTTTGCTTCCATAGCAGATAATGGTTTTCCAAATAAATAAATGTGAAATAGAAGTTGAGTTTTGAGTAGCAGCTGAGTCTTAGTAAATTGCAGCAGATGAAGACTGAAAAGTCCATTTCCACTGTTAGGCTTAATACTTGCAGACTTAAACTGTTACCTGGCTGTTGCCTTATGTTGTGAGGAGAAACTTTGTAAGCATGAGCTCTAGAAAATGTTTTGACATAATAGGTGCAAATGTAGTTGGCTGGTGTTGATGTATTGGCTTCTCTTTCTCTCTTTGGTTGGCATGGAAAACTTACCACTCGTAAGTAACAAATGTGGGTTTGAGTCCTGTTACATGTTTTATCTATAGAAATATTACTGTATTTTTTTTAACGGTCTTTCCTTTGTTTTGCTTTAGAATAGCTTTTAACACTGTTGATTTAGCTTGCAAAAAGAGAAGTATGCAAACTGTTTTTGAATGTGCCATGGATCTTTGTATCTCTTCCAGCTATCCTTTCTTTAAGCTGTCTCTTTACTTTTTGGAGTTGCAGACTTAATAGTATATTATATCAGTTCATTTGCATTATTCGATAGTGGTGAGCTTAAAAATTCATTGTTTATGTAAGTGATATCATGGTCAAACTAATGCCAAAGTGCATGTGTTTGTTCCAGACAGATGAAAACATTCCTTAATGGTTAATTGTGCCTGTAAAGAGAAATGATTTCTGGTGAAAAGTATACTATTTTTTATAAACTATGTTACTGTAAAGTCTAAGCATAGGTTAATCTGAACTATCTGCCCTAAATGTTTAAGTGTTAATTCTGATCCTAAGAAATTACCAGATGTTTCTCTGAGTGACTTTCACAAATTATTTCTTCCATAGTAGAGTAGCCATTCTTTACTGACAGCGCTTAACAGGCGAGAATGGCCAATGAAACTTTTTGGATGGTTAGCTTGCTCTTATCTCTGCTACTGCTGCTATGTTGCTAACATTACCTCTGGATAGTAGTTATAAATATGCAGTGTACCTTAGGCAGTTCAGGTGTCTCTGTGCAATCTACAGCCTTGCTCTTTTGACTACAGAACACATAAAATTTTAGGAATTGGTCAGGTCAAAAAAGTAAACACACCTCAACAAAAGAAAAAAGATCAACTTGCATTTGTGTGGATGGCACAAGACTTCTTTTCCACAAATGGTCATGATCTCTTTGTTTCTTGATGATCAAATCTGAACTTTAAAACCAAGTCAGGCAATGGTAAATCTTGCAAGAAAGTAGGATATAGAAATTCTGATCCTGCGCTTATTACGCACAGGTAGATCCAGGAAGCCCTACTGAACTGAGGTCTGTGTTAAGTATATACAGGATCAAGGCCCCGGAAGAGAGCACTTTGTACTGCCAGTGGGCTTTTTCTGACTGCTTAGCGTAGTAACTCAAAATTGATAATATAAGTGTATAATTGACATCATTAAATACTACATTTATACATTAAAGTTTGAATATCTTTTCTGTGACTTCATAGTGTATTGTTCATATACTGCTTTCTTGAATGAGGCAAATCAAGGTAGACATGAATCTGATCTGAATAATTATAGTAGCTAAATGAGCTCACCTTAGAGCACTACTATTTCATTTAACAAATTTATTAATTTCCAAGGAAAATATACTTTTTAATGTTTAATATTTCCATTTATTTTTTCCACAGGCCAGCAAACAAGTTAGAAATATGGGAGGATTTAAAGATAATAAGTAAGTGGAAATGAAAGATTCCATGTGCATAATATTTACCATAAATTTAAAATGTCTTTCACACCCTTTAAAATGCACGCTTTACGCTGGGCTGTTTTTTCAGTAGATATGAAGATAGTGTAACACACTACATGGCAAACCTCCTCCCTGCCCCCCC